TTTAGTAAAGTCTCTATTAAAAACCGCCATCTTACAGAATTTTGGAAGCTGATCTGGGAGACACGTGGATTTTTGAGGTACGCCCATAGCAGAGGGGGACGCGCGCCGATCACGTTACGGAATTCACTCGGCCCAGTGTGCCTTGCAGCTCCTTCTCTACGTCTCTCAAGCCACGCTAGCAGACGCACAGCGGTGCATGATATAGACAGAATGTTATTACCGGCAAAGACAAGAGAGACTGGAATGGCCAGTTCTGACTAGCCAGCCATGCTCAAGTCCGAGGAATGCAACACCGAGGATCGAATTTACCATGGGTTGGTTAGAAATCCAAGCAATTTAACCAATGCTCCTCGGGCTCCTTGTCCTGTCGGTTGCGATCGGGTGTATTAAAAATTGTAGAGGAGGCTTACCGTTTGCGTTACAGAACTCACTAGTTCGGTTGTGCCTCTGGGTTCTCTCTTTCTCCGGAGTGGCGCGTAATACAGGCAGAGGAGCATTACCAGCAAAGAGAAGCAAGGTTACATTGGTCATTTCTGGCTGGGCATGTCAGACTGATAACGGTTAACAAGTTAGAAACGGAAATTTCTGTGCCGCATATCTTTTATGAGTAATGGTTTTATGCTCACAAACGGCTGCATAAAAATGGAAAATATTACAGTAATACTTTGCCAAGGCTAGAAGGATTCTACACACTATGTATGCACGACATAGAGTGCTTGGCAAACACCAACGAGAAGTTAACGGAAATTCCGAAACATACCTTCGATTAGAAAGGATTACTCGGGGGCCTTGTAAACTTGCCTGTCATGAGGCCCAACCCAAGGATAATACAGTCACGGCAGGATCTGGGCTTACAAAAGCGCTGTTCTTCGGTCAACTGATAAAACTACATTCGGTAACGAATTGTTAACTTTACATGCACCATTGGTAAATGCAGAGACATAATGTTTTGTGAACGGCCAGTTCAAGGTTTTAAAAAATCATACAGATAGAAACTATTTAAAAACCGAATGATACCATTTTCTTAGAGTATACGATCGGGCAATGCGTAATTTTCTACCCAATGAGCATTTTCCTGTGAAATGTTTGGTGCATTTTCTCATAAAATATAGTTATATTTTTTAAGAATTTCGAAAATCAATGTGATTAATGCATGGAAATTGAGCAGTTATTTTATACAGAATGTGGTTTTTGCACGCGGTTCGAAAGATGTTTGTTCGAAAGACAGCACACTTCGGTAACTGAATTATTATAGAATTGTGCTGTAGGATGATTGTTTTACAAAATTATATAATTAGTATCTTGGAAACTAAATCACATTTCAAGATTTCGGTCGATATTTTAGGAGATAGTACACTTACTATATAAACACATATATATATACCTTCATCTACCGTATACCGTGCGCCAACTGCCCTTGTTTTTATATTGGCCATACAGGCCGATGTCTTGGGACTCGCATCAACGAGCACAAGTTAGCCCTCCACAGACGTGACCCTCTGTCCCTCGTGTTTGCGCACGCCCTTGAGCACGACCACCGCTTCAGTTGGGACGGTACTGAAGTGATCGCAAGGGCTAACACCAGGTAGTCGCGAGAATTCCTCGAAGCTTGGCATTCTGGCACGACCAGCATCGACCGCCACGTCGATCTAGACGCTCACTACGAGGGCTTACGTACACGCTCACTGTATTGTTCCCACACCCTAACCACTGCTAACCCCCGCTCGCCCACATAGACATAGGCTGTTTCGCCATTCCGCCCCCCCTTGGGACACGGTTAGCAATAACTGAAACCCCTAGCATCTCCAACGCCGGCGCATTGCCCCCTGACCTCATTCCGATCAGTGACCAGCCGCCCGCATTCCCACTGATCCGCAATCCCCCCGCGTTTTCTCTACCTCCAACACAGAGAGCCTCACGGTTGCCTCTTCCCTCCCCCTGACCCACAGCCTACCATAGCTCGGTGCCCCCCCCCTCTCACGCATCAGCTGTCTGTTTGTTGTTGTCTGTCCTGTCGGGGTGTAGGGGT